TATAATATAAATTTAACAGAGAATCTATTGCAACGTCTCATACGCTCCTGTTTTTCAATCAATTTCAATTTGATTGTAATAATCGTTTTGTAAGGAAAAGAAAATTTATATCAATTCTGTACCTACGTTTACTCGAATACTTAAATATTGATGACAATAGAACAGACTTTTACTCCGGAATAACATGCACACTTAACAGATTGTTACTAGAAATTTCCGTCACGAGTCAGATTCGTCGAAATATGACGAAGAATGAATTCTAATAAATATGAATTCTACAAACGGAAAGGTGAAGAAACGATGAGAAATAAAATGTCTCATTTACGAAAGAGGATGTAGTGTTTGGCTCACCTCGTGTTTTGTCAAAAAAAAAAAAAAGTATACTTTATGGACAGTAGTGTACACAGGTTTCCCGATCGAATATTTTCTTTTCCAGCGACGATATTATTTTTCGTCCCGGAGTCAGATTTAGCGAGATTTTTATCAGTGGAGCAACGTTATCCGTTGCCACGGTAGAAAAATCGATAGGAAACAGGTACCTTGGTGGCCGGCTGGCCAGGGACGCCGACTGCCTCCTGAGATCCCTTTTATCGACGCTCCTGTCTGGGCTCAGATGGCTCTTGGAGTCGCGCCGCCTCGGATAAGAGGCGGAATCTGGGCTCAGTGAATCCCTTCGAGCCCTTCGTCCTTCAAGGAACAATAGAAACCATCTAAATACCGGTCGATCTCTCATGAACACCCGCGACAAGAATAGGCATGCAAAAATCGGGATAGAAAGTGGAGACAGATTTAGTAGGGAGAAGAATGTTAATGTTCATAGACAGTCTGAGCAGTTTATTTATTTTACGTTTTTTGCATCCGATGGTTATAATGTGCAATTGGAATGCATAGGTGTACCTCCTTCGTCGGGATCCGGCGATAACGTCGGCTGGCTCCCACGTCGTACTGCGGGTGGCATCGATTCGTCTATCGCGGCTGCCTGGCGTATTAATCTCGACGATTTGCTCGGGTAACCCTCCTTTCCTTTGTAATAGCACTGCAACAGAGGCGATCTACCGTAACTGGATTTGCTTCGCTGCGATCGCGCTGCCATGTGTCAACGTTGGTCTCGAATTTTAGGCACTTGCGGCGCATTCTTCGAATTAAAGATCACCCGGTGTATAGAATTGTATGAAATTAAGTGGAACGAATACGCCTGACCACACGCTGACTAATACTACTTGTAATTTTCTTTCTTTAATCTTTCGAGCACATCTACATTCCAAGACTGTTGTAAAGCATATAATGTATTTATCGCAGACACATAAGATATATGTTAACACTGACACATACAATACATCATTCGCTCTTATTTTGCACAGCTACAAAAGATGTCGCGGCCAACCTAACAAATCAAATCGTACCGCGAACACGAAGTCACTTTATACAAAGCATCACTGCGTAAACTGAAAAACTTCAGCACTGAAGAATCAACTTGTAAAATTAAAATAAACGTCGGCAAACAATAACGTTTACGCTTTACTTTTCCCATAAGGAATCCCTCTAAATATAAAATAATATTTTACATATAGATGATATTCTATAAATAATATAATCTATAAAATAAAGTATAGGTTTCGCCAAGTATGAGACCATAGAACTTAAAAGACTGGAAAGTCTTTGATACCGTACCTGAGTAGCCGAGTCTCTTCTCGTGCCGAGCAGAGGATGCGTGGGCGTGTTGACGCTCGGCGAGCCAACGGGGCTGGAGCCACCGGAAGTCGAGGCCCCCGGAAGCGGAAGGCTTCTGCCAACTGTCGGCGAGATCGACGGCGGCGTCACCGAGGACATCACGATCGCTGGTGGAGTGATCGACGCGTCCAAGTTTAGGTGGGTCAACGTGGTCAACGTGGTCGACGTGGCTGTCGTGACCATCATTGTTCCCGTCGACTTCGATTCGACGGTCGTCGTCACGGCAGTCTTGCCGTCGATCATCGACGTCGAGGTGGTTGTGGTCGTGGTCGTCGACGTGACCGTTTTCCCTTCGATCATCAGACTAGGATGCGGCTTCTCGGTGCTGCTCGACCGGTCGCCTTTATCTATCGAGCTCCTGTGGTCCATGTGTTCCCTATCGTGGACAATTCAGAGTAATCAGCTTCGGTAGATCCTTAACTTATCCTTGATCTGATTTGGCCAAAATAATGTAGTATTGTTTGTAATTATAATAAAAATTGATAGAATTCACTGCTGAAGACTTTCGCAGTCCTCATGGAAAATTAAAGGCAAATTGTTGCGACAGAAGGAATCTCAATTGTTTAAGCTAAGTAACGAGACATCGATATTCGTATAATAAAATAGTTACAGTGAATTCCCTGCAATTGTCCCTCAGCTCATAAACAAAAATGTATCTCCTGTTCTCAAATTGTCCATTTTTGTTCACAAGCTAAAGAACAATTTTGGGGAGAATTTACTGTACTTGGTTCCAATTTCAGACTTAATCTCAATTGATTTATATAGTAGATCATTTTGTATATGATTGTATTGTATTGGATTCAGCTAACTACACGACAAACGTATTTCGATAATAGAGAGTTCTGACACTGGAGACCCGGATAGTTCTATTGTATCAGATGCAGAAGGGACACTAATAGTATTGATAACTAGACTGGAATTTTATGCATTGACGACAAGATCCACTAATAAAAACATTCGTAAAATTCAAAGATGCTGTTGTATTATTTTTAGCTCTTTAAAATTATTAAAAAGAAGAAATGTCTATCTAGCATCTGCATCTTGTAATTAATACAGACAGTTTCTATTTCGCCTAAATATCCGCCGTCTAAGTGTGCATAAAATATCTCCAAAACATGTGCATACATAAAAATCCTCATCCGAGACTTTCCGAATAAATAAAAAGAAAAGTTGCCCTCAAGAATCGAGTTTGTCGAGTATGGTTGCAAGACAGTGTACAAAGTCACCCATTAGACTGTTCTTAGGCGGAACACAGGAGATTCTTATCAAGGACAATTGGGTTAATATGTCCTACAGGAACGAGTCTGAGTCGATGACAGGCTATTATGCAAACTACACTCGAAATTACAGGCGCGCCGCGAATTGTTAGTCAATCATTACGTACCTAATAGCGTTGCTGCCGGTGCTATCGGTGCTGGAGGCGCTTGGTCTTTGATCGAGTCTGTCATACTTCGATGGCATGACGACAGTGCCGTCCATGGACTGCTGCGATTGTCTGCGTCTGTGGTGTCGGCAGTTGTGCTTCCGTTCACCTGGACTAGGCGTTTGCCCGGTGACAACGGAGTCCCTCCTGGATCTTGAGCTCTCCCCGGAGCTTTGTCGCGAACTCTTCCATTCCATGGACTCTGCGGTAAACCCGAAATTGTTATACATTTCTCTGCTTCTTTATTTCCACGCCGCGTAATTTGCGTTAATCCACTTGTTCGACTACTTATTGCATCAATACCCAAACGGATCGTCTCATTCATTTCACTAAATATAGTAAAACCTAAAAAAATTATAGGTAATATTGTAATAATGTAATTTGTAAGATTATACTGTAATTCAACTATCCTGACAATTTGATTTATTTTACCATTTGCTGTATTTAAAACAGCACAGTTCCAGAATTTGTCGAGGAATACAAACAAGCTGCAGATTTGAAGCATTTATGACAAAAATGAGTGGATCCAATATGTAAAAGTACAACGATTTAAAGTAGTTGAAAGCACCGTCGTGTTATTATTCCAATATTATAATAAGAATATTATACAGTGTCCCAAAATTATGGTATTTCCGAGAAATGAGAGGGATTCATGAGGTGATTTGAAGCAACTTTCTCCTTCACAAAAATTTTCTCCGAGGCATCGTTAACGAATTATTCATGTAAAACACCGACCAATGAGGGGCGAGTTCGCTCGGCGCTAAGCGACCGAGTCAATGAGCGGAACCGAGCTCCGTGCGCTCGTTGGCTCGGCTGCCGCGCGCCAACCAAGCTCGCCTCTCATTGGTCACTGTTTTTCGTTAATAACTCGTAAACGAAGCCGCGGATTGCACTTTCGCTAAGGAAAAAGTTACATTAAATAACCTCAGGAACCTCTTATTACCCGGANTTCTGACACTGGAGACCCGGATAGTTCTATTGTATCAGATGCAGAAGGGACACTAATAGTATTGATAACTAGACTGGAATTTTATGCATTGACGACAAGATCCACTAATAAAAACATTCGTAAAATTCAAAGATGCTGTTGTATTATTTTTAGCTCTTTAAAATTATTAAAAAGAAGAAATGTCTATCTAGCATCTGCATCTTGTAATTAATACAGACAGTTTCTATTTCGCCTAAATATCCGCCGTCTAAGTGTGCATAAAATATCTCCAAAACATGTGCATACATAAAAATCCTCATCCGAGACTTTCCGAATAAATAAAAAGAAAAGTTGCCCTCAAGAATCGAGTTTGTCGAGTATGGTTGCAAGACAGTGTACAAAGTCACCCATTAGACTGTTCTTAGGCGGAACACAGGAGATTCTTATCAAGGACAATTGGGTTAATATGTCCTACAGGAACGAGTCTGAGTCGATGACAGGCTATTATGCAAACTACACTCGAAATTACAGGCGCGCCGCGAATTGTTAGTCAATCATTACGTACCTAATAGCGTTGCTGCCGGTGCTATCGGTGCTGGAGGCGCTTGGTCTTTGATCGAGTCTGTCATACTTCGATGGCATGACGACAGTGCCGTCCATGGACTGCTGCGATTGTCTGCGTCTGTGGTGTCGGCAGTTGTGCTTCCGTTCACCTGGACTAGGCGTTTGCCCGGTGACAACGGAGTCCCTCCTGGATCTTGAGCTCTCCCCGGAGCTTTGTCGCGAACTCTTCCATTCCATGGACTCTGCGGTAAACCCGAAATTGTTATACATTTCTCTGCTTCTTTATTTCCACGCCGCGTAATTTGCGTTAATCCACTTGTTCGACTACTTATTGCATCAATACCCAAACGGATCGTCTCATTCATTTCACTAAATATAGTAAAACCTAAAAAAATTATAGGTAATATTGTAATAATGTAATTTGTAAGATTATACTGTAATTCAACTATCCTGACAATTTGATTTATTTTACCATTTGCTGTATTTAAAACAGCACAGTTCCAGAATTTGTCGAGGAATACAAACAAGCTGCAGATTTGAAGCATTTATGACAAAAATGAGTGGATCCAATATGTAAAAGTACAACGATTTAAAGTAGTTGAAAGCACCGTCGTGTTATTATTCCAATATTATAATAAGAATATTATACAGTGTCCCAAAATTATGGTATTTCCGAGAAATGAGAGGGATTCATGAGGTGATTTGAAGCAACTTTCTCCTTCACAAAAATTTTCTCCGAGGCATCGTTAACGAATTATTCATGTAAAACACCGACCAATGAGGGGCGAGTTCGCTCGGCGCTAAGCGACCGAGTCAATGAGCGGAACCGAGCTCCGTGCGCTCGTTGGCTCGGCTGCCGCGCGCCAACCAAGCTCGCCTCTCATTGGTCACTGTTTTTCGTTAATAACTCGTAAACGAAGCCGCGGATTGCACTTTCGCTAAGGAAAAAGTTACATTAAATAACCTCAGGAACCTCTTATTACCCGGAAGTACCATAATTTTGGGACTCCCTGTATATCGTAAATCTCGTATTATAGTATTAACAAAGTTCCATTTGATTTCGATTTCTTCCAGTTAAAGCAGCAATTTTTGCTTAAGAACCCGCAGCTTACCGCGTCGAGGCGTGGGTGAAATGACCTTCGGGAAAGGCTGCACCTGCGACGTCGAACCTCGCTTCATCCACAACCTCGCGATGTCGTTCTTCAGGTCGCTGATCGTCGACTCTCTCCTCGATTTCGTGGACGGCTGACTCCTGATCCCGCTGTCCACGGAACTCTCCCTGCGTTTACGGAGCCTCTCTAGGTGACTCGCGTCCATCGTCTGCCTGGACCACGGCAGCGATTTCGTGATGTCCGCGAGCGTCTCGCGACGACAGAGCTGCTTCCCGCGGCTGCTTTTACCCGAACCGCCGCCGCCGCTCCATTCTCTCAAAATGTCTGTCAGCTGGGCCAAGCTTGACCGTCGGCGACGCTGCGTCGTCGGCGTTTCGTTCCTCTCGTTCGGCGGCGAGATTTGCGTACCCGAGTCGCGTCTTCCGGTTCCTGATCGAACATCCGAGAAAAGTTTTAGTTTCATTCATTTCTGTATACTAAGTTAATGCAGTTTTTTAAATACATTTATCACGTGCATTTATTTGTAATTATTGATATTCATTCGTTAATCACTATTAAATTAGTATGCATGCTGCATGAATTTATTAGTGAATATTAAAAATGAATGCATTTACTGTCTACATTTATTTCATGTATTTTTTCACGTATTTTATTGTAACTTCATGATTTTATTAGTAAATATTAAACGAATGCATTTGTTTCATGTCCTTCATATACGTCTTTATTTGTCAACATTAATTTAATATATTTACTGAACGAATTTATCAGTAAATATTAAACGACTTAAAATTAATTTAAGACGTTTAGTAAATGAATCGATTAATAAGTATTAAATGAATTCATTTACTCTATGCATTTATTTCATATATTTTATGCGTGTCTTTATTTTTGAATATTAATTTCATACACTTACTGCACACATTTATTAGTTAATAAATCCGTTTGTTTCGTGTGTGTCTTCATTCGCGAGCATTGCATCAATGCTTTTATTACATGCATTGGCAATATTAAATTAGTACAATGACTATGTTTTGTTACTCGAATTACAAACATTTATACCGTATATTTAATATACATCTTTATTAACGAACGTTCGTCTGATGCACTAATGTATGCACTCATTTAGAGAACACTTACCAAGTCGTTGCTTCAGAGTGGTCTCCTCCACCTGTTCCCGAACAAAGTCGTCCCAGCCGTTTTTTCCCTGCCATTCCAGCCCCACCTGTGGCTTGACGATGGGCAGGTTGCACACGAAGCAGATGGTGGACATGGTCCTGAAAACGATAAACGATCGATCTTGGTACCAGCGATTATGATAAACGATTCAAGATCGACTCCAGATCGACGCGTTCGATAATAATAATCCTTAGGATATATTTGGTGCATTTGTTCTAACAATATCGTTACGGTGAAACCAGGCCATGCCAACGCTAGTGAAATCTAACATCATTCATCGAGGTCGCAGTTTCTTCGCTAGATCGTTCTATTGTTATAAAAATAGTTTCAGCTACGGTTCGTTCGCATGCTCGTCGAGATGCAAATCGCGGGCACCGTTCGTCGACGGACGCTCGCTCGTCGGGAAAATTAATGATGGAGGATGAAGCGGGGCTCGATGAAATTGATCTGTCCGTTCTTTTCGCTTCGTTCTTCTTCGAATTCCGTGTCGCAGAGCTTCGAAGCGGTCATTAATTTCTGGTCACAATCTGCAGATTGACGAATAACAAATCGCTTTGAAAAATTAGTCCATACCGTCCTCGGAAACCATTGAAATTATTTTCTGCAGGCGTGCGACGAATTGGAGAATCGAATAAACATGTAAGTTTCACTTTTAAGTGGAGCAACAAAGATTTCCTTGCATTTACAATTTAAGCGCGTTCATGGAATCGTAACACATCGATTTCCTTTGAGAGTCATAATTCATATTTTCTGATAAATACGGAGAAAGCTTCTGTCCTTTTTGGCAAAGATAAACGACGAATCGGATATACGAATCTTCAGAAATTAGTAATACAAAGTGATCTACCTAGATCTGCTACCTAAATTACTCGAAAACCGTTTCAAACAGAAGTTGTAGAGTATGGATTCAGATATATACGTTTATATAATTAATTTTCTTTTATATTGCTTATATTTATCGAGATTTGGAAGTCAGTTTGAATTTTTTAATCATAGTGTATAAAATTTGATTCTATAAAGAAACAATGTAGAAAAAAGTTTGTTGTATCAGCGTATTCCCTATTCCATACAATCGTCCACGAACGATTTACGAATAATTTGGGTGGCAGATCTTGGTAGACCTCCCTGTATATATATATATCGACAAATTTTCAATTTCGAAAGTGCGAATGACCGCCGCGAAGCTCTCGAGCCGTGGAAAGTTCGAAGGAAAATCGGAGAATAATAAAGAAACGAATAGACTCCTTCCAGACAAACTACATTTAAAATAATTCTACTTCAAGTTAACAGTATAGTAACGAAGTGTTAAGATTTGCCAGCTGGTTCGTGAGTTCCTCACGATACTATACATTATTCTTATGTACAGGGCGTTGATGCTGATCAGTCACAAGGGAATCGAGTTCGCACGGAAAGTTAACGAGAAAACTTCGTGTAATATACTCTTCGCGAATGCTCACCTTTTCCGAGACCCTGAGTGCCTACGAAGTTGGAATATTGAGTTCTGTCGTCCGCACATACATATAATACAATTCCCATTGTGGGATTTCATTTTTCAAATTACGGGCATCCGCGAGTCCGTGTGAACATGTTGGACATTATCGAATTAGTAAGTTAATTGGGCAGCAAAATTGTAACTGTAATACTATTCACTGCACGAGGTCCGACCAAAAAGTACACGGAACGGCTTCGTTGAGAAATGTAAAAATGTCGACACGCTCTTCTACGCTAATTAGAACTATCGTTTCTTTGCTACAGCCATTCATAGCGTCATTAAATATACATTTACGGACGAAAGTTAAGGTACAACTTTCGAAACGCATCAGCTTTTTTAAAACCGAACTAAATGACTTGAATTTCTTTAAATGTTAGAGGGACTAATTTATTTTTTTATTTTACTATTACTTGGGATGACAGAAAATTAAGAACTCTCGTTCTTCAACCTTTGTACTCGAGGCTATAGCGAAAATTTTAAAAATTCGTGGTGTAGATCTCACACGTGGATCTCTAGATAAGTAACTCAAAGATTTGAAAAAAGTCAATGCGGTTTAAAAAAGGTTTCTTAACTTTTGTCCGTAACTGTATTTATTGCAAGCGATAGCTAGTGATCCGAACTTCATTTACGATATTACGAACTAACTTTATGTTCGAACTTAATTTTCATTAAGCCAATAACTTCGAAACAAGGTCACCGAGAATAAATCTTCTTCAGATTTGTTCACTTGTTTAATTCATTTACTAACATCTAAATAGTTGCAAATGTAAATAATGCAGAGGAGAAGTAATTCCCAAACGTATTCTCGAAAAGAAATTCCGAGAATAAAAATGAAGTTCGCCACTGATTAAGCTTAGAAAGCCCTTTCAACCTAGAATCAAGCAAGAAAATCATTCTCGACTCATCTAGGCGGGGGTGCAAGTTCCATGCACGCTTCTATCATTGGTCCGATTTTTCGTCGCGAGCAGAAACGACTGAACCATCATCAGCTCCCTGTACGTCGATAGCAGCTAAAGTTGCACTCTACGGTTTGCAGCATGAATCATGAAACCGACGAAACCACGTTTCGCAGCTGCCGGCGCGTGGGCGTGCGTCAAAAACGACGTGCACGATGGCGCAAACGATCATCGAACGGAGCAAACACACACTCTCGGACAAGGTTTATGCGCTAAGGACACAGGCGACGCAGGTGTGGTTACAGAGCTGCCGAAAACGTGTTCGAGCGAGCGCCGATCAGCCTCATTCCCAAAAGCAAGTGGATGCAAGTGAAACAACTTCGTGACGTATCGTACACGCGTGTACTCGTGTAACTGCGAACGGAATGCGAATCTAGAATCTTCGATCTAGATCACTTGACCCGCAAAAGTCGAACAAGAATCACGGATCAATCGTTCTTCGACGAAACTTCGCGAAACAAAGAATTTGTAGATAACGTGGCACAGGAAATTGACAGTTTTACGTTTTCAATGTGCAAATGCTGATTAACGATTGACGTTTCATGACACTGTTTTGTTATTCTTATTGCGAGCTTCTAATTTTGTGGATTTATTGGCAAATTCTGGTTTTAATTTTTCTAGTTAAAAACTCTTCAAAATTGTTTGCTAAATGTCTGCCATAAATTGTGAACCATGATTTTAAAAACATATGTGAAAATATTTCAACACTACCATTATTAATTTACGTTTAATAAGTTTTATAATAAACCATTGTGCGCAAGAAGCGCACAGTTAAATCAGGTTTTATTTCGATATTGATTTAATATAAATCTTTATTACTGTGTCTCGCAGTAATCGCAATTTTCATACAATGATTCGCTAAAGTGTCCGTACACAGTTTATCCAATTTGATTCGATTGGCCGCCACTCCATGAAGTTTCGATATAAAATATCGGATCGACTAATAAATAACTTTATTGAAAAATTATTGAACGAATACGAACGTACGATAATACCGAGAACGGTTGGATCAAATAAAAATGTTTAAATTTCAACGAACATCGATTATATTAAATATTTGACAGCGATGTATTTATCCACATACATACAACAACAATGAAGTTTTCGGCGAGACTGCGTGCAACAACTGAAACATCCACGTTCGTAAATTCGAAAATGACAAATTAAAGGAAAGTTTCACTCGAAGAAAATCGATTCCGTTCTTCGCGAATTTTGCGAGTCGAATCGTGCCCCGTACGCAGTCATTTGCGAGCAAGGAATAACAAAAGAGATAGAAATAGAGCCGCATGTCTGTCCTCGTAATTCAGCGTATAAGAAAATTCTCTTTGCAATATTTAATTTAGCGTTTTTTTCGACCTGAAATGTCGAAGTCTGGGTCTCTGCAACGACATCGCATGGCAGGGACCTGGCCGACCTGCAAAAGATACATACACACAAAACGTTTTTGCCGGCCGGATGCGTCAAGCCGAGATGGAAATGTGGTGATAGTTGTTGGAGAGGGTCCTGGAAATTGCGCCCTGATCGGCCCCATAAACCAACGCGACGGTCCTCGATTATTTCTCGATCACTGTTTAACAACCAGCCTCGAATCGCTCTGCCACGAATTCCCAATTTTTATCGCCCGCGCGATGTTCAAATTTTCGCGACGCGTTTTCAATTTCCACGTCAGGATATCTCAGTCTTGCAGTCGCAAAGCTCCAATTTGCACGACGGGAAAACAAATTCGAAATTCTCGCGTCCGGGTGTCTCGATTTTCCCGTCGCGCCGCGACGTTTCGGTTTTCGTGTCAAGAGTTTTCCCGTCACCGTTGCTGCAATTAAATTTCCAGCGTTCTCACCGAAAATCACCGAGCTTCTAGGAGACTGCACTGTAAATTCTTACTAAATTCTTCGTGAATTTCAATTTTCCGGACGGGAAATTTCTCAGTTTCTGCGCCGCGGATTCTTAAATGTTCCTGTCGCGAATTCGTAATTTTTTTCGGTCGGAGTTTTAAGCTGCCCGGACTCACAGCGATTCAAGAACTTTCGCGCGGACAAGTCTCCATTTTTTCAGTCGAACAGTATCAATTTTTCACGAAGTGTTCTTGAACCTAGCGTTCCAAAGTTTTGCAACTTCTAAATAGCGAGTATCGGCGATCATTTTCCAAGGCATTTTTTCCCTATTTTACCGGTTAGCTTCTTGCTTACAACATAGTAATTAGTTGGCAGAGCCTGACCGATAAACTTCTCGTTTAATGAAGTTCAACGCTCCGCGGGGGTGGGTTACTTTAATCCGCAACTTCGCAACCCTTGGCGGATGGAACACGATACCGCCTGGTATCCCGGAATGTGGTCTTGGTAAATATTTGTGGAATTAAACACTGGCAAACGTTTAACCTCCGGGATCATTTTTCTAATCCCGATGGAACGATTTCCAGTCGACGGATCCCGGTTGAAATGTTGGGATCCAATTTCTATACGCCATTTACAATTTCGATGAAACGCGTGATTTTCCGGAGAATTTTTTCGGGTCATTCGCCGATTGATATTGAACTGCATTTTCAAAATACATTTTTAAAACGCATTCACGTAGAATTAAATTGTGACAATTGCAAGGCTAGATGTTTATACACTATATTGTTTGACACTATTTAAGCACAATGCAAAATTTTGTGTTTAGCACAATATTTAAATACTATCTGAAATTTAGAATTGTTAGAAATTGTTTCGAAGTGGTGGAAGCCATTACCGTTACCTAAAGAAACCTAAATATCGTCTAAAAAGAGAACGTAAAACCACAATGGTTTCTATAATTACAAAACAATATTATTGTAGGATAACGTTAACCTAAAGCGAAAATTGAAATTAGAACCAAATTCACTGTTCAATTCACTGTTCGAATCACGGTCATTCTCCTGATTTTGTCCTACATCCGACCGGCCCCAAAAAATTCATCGTCTCCGGCGCAAGTAGGAAGCGCTGAAATTTCACCGGCAGAATCCAATATCACCGGGTCGAGAGTAATACTTTTCAGCGAAATACAATATTTCATTTCGCGGTGAGGCGATTCGAGCATGAAACCGTAATAAGGATGGTGAAAGGGCCAGTGTTAACGCTATTGTCTAACGAAATCCGAATTTATTAAAAGCGTGTACATTAAATCGCACCATACGCCCCCGTCTAATAAGTATGCGAACACTTTCTTAATTATGATAGCTATTTAAACAAAGTTTTCAAATAATTAATGGATATTATTAATATTAATATTATTAATGGATGTCACTAATGGATATTATTATGATTTTTATGTACTTTGTACTATATTAGAGAATATATTTAACAAATAATGTATTTACTGCTTTACTAAAAAATGCAATTCAATTCTCTTTTCGACGATGTACCCGCCGCGCGCCCTTAAAACTTTTTTTACTAATTTTGACATTCCAGCTATCAAATTTTTCATTATATCCGAAGAAGTATTTTTCGATTCAGCTTGTAATATTCGCGGAAATGCGAGCTAAGGAACCTCGACAAACGACCGCACGCAATGCAACGTAGTGCCGTCTTAATCTGCCGTTTAAACATTTAATTACTTAAAGAACTCAAATAAATAAATCAGTAATTTTAATGCTAGTAAATATTACTGTTTGTACATAGGAATATTATTATATTTTGTCGTCGTTTCCGAGCACGGGAAACGATCGCGGGAATATTCATTTCAGTAACCGTTTCCGTGAAACATTGCCTATGTAAACGTTGACGAGTGTTAAACGGTCGCGTTCCCTGCGCTCGCGAACCCGTCGACCGAGTGTAATCTTGGCGAAATTAATTTAATGCGGTTCGTACCGTGACGTTAATCGCGCGCCACATCGCTTGACGCATCGCGGAATACGAAATTATTCGGGACGAAGTCAGATCGGCGGGCTGACCGAGTAACCGTTCCGTGGGGAAATCGTCTGCCGGGTCGCTTTTAAATCCATTCGTATGCTAATTCGACCAGCCATCGACGGTCTCGGTAACAGGCAGCCAGCTGATAAAGCAGCCAGATTCGGATAATTTGATAATTGATCCCACGGAACGGGATGAATCTGCTTATGGCAGTAGGCAGATGCTGTGTCCGCTAAAATCCACCCTCGCAGTTTACGATTCCGACGAGAAGTTTGCGTTTGAAAACTGTTATTAATGCGGCGCTCCGGTCTTTGTTGAGGATAGATACCGTGAACAGGGATAACGGAAGCTTTTCACACCCTGCGAGGGCTCGTAGGTCTGATAAGAACTTCGGGGCTCCGCGCTTTTATTCACGGAGCGACACAACTTGGATAACACATTCTTTAAACGAGAGGCTGATAACCGTTAAGTAGAAGCAGAATTTTCTAAGTAAATACTTAGTGTTAACACGTTTAATTTCTTGCTTCGAGTCGAACTCGTCTATAATTTATTATTTTATTTATTAATACGTCAGCTTGACTCAGTTATCTTGTAATAGTTTTCTGGAGAAAATGACGCCATTGTCTGGCTAGTTGCTGTCTATTTGCTTGGACAGTGCCAATTTTATGCTGTTTGACCAGCGTTTGTCAAACAGATGTCTGATTAAAGACAATTCACACTTGACTGTTCAATGACAGCTGAATCAGCTTGTACATATATAATTAACCCATTTTATTTAGCTAGAAATAGTTGTCACATCCCACTTCTTCGAATATGACCGTCCCATTCTAGCTGTTTCGATATGATTATTCTGCATATTTGTTTGTATAAGTTTTATTCCACTTGTATGTATAAGTTTGTTCTATTCTACTTGTTTGAATAAGACTGTCCTGTTGTATTTGTTTGAATACGTCTACCTCGTTCCATTTGTTTTAACATGAATGCTCCGTTCCACTTGTTCGAATAAGACTGTTCCATTCTACTTGTTTAACTGTGACTGTCCTATTCTACTTTTTCGAACACGCCTGTCCATTTCTACTCATCTGACTAGAATTTCCCTGCTCCATTTCTCTGACAACAAACCTAATCCGTCACAAAAATTCTCCACAACTTGTATTCTATACTTGACTAATAAGACACTAGTACATTAGTACAACTATCGGTACATCATTCGCCAACAAAAAGAAGGCAAAATAAATGTTTGAACCAGTTCCAATCCAGCGTGACGCTATTAAAATTGATCCCACTATCAACTCCACAGTCAGAGTACACAACTGCAAGTACTTTTAATAAACCCGACGTTCCCTGAAACTCTACTTACTCATCGTTCCCGTGTAAAAGGCCATCTTTTGTCTTGTCTCACGAGCTATTTTTATCCGCAACTCGAGAGCCCGTGATATATGGTCGGTATAACGGGGCACACCTTGTCTAGAAGTTATTTTATTCTTGCACCGGGAAACTTTCTTCAGACATATTCGACCAGTGTCGCAGCCGGCCGGGGCTCGACAATTTTTATGACGACAGCCGACTTCCGTATCCGGATACGATGTAGAACGGTAACGGGCCCGGCATAATTAGAATAATTAATTTCGTTTCGCGGGAAAAGCCGCGTTGAGGATAATACCTGAAACACGACGAGAACGTCTGCGGATAATCTTTTCATGGAATATTTTAACATTTGTTCGTCGAATACACACGCGTGCCGTTTAAAGTCTCATTATGCACGCATTGTTCCCAGGATCTGAAATATCATTATTAAAATATCGCAGCCTCTTGCAGAAGTAGTCGATCGAACAATCGTGAATACGAAAATCAATTGTTCTTGTAATTAAACGTAAAGAAAAACTGAACGATGTGTGAACATTACAATTATGTTTGATCAACCAAACATTAGGACGTAGTTTTAATATTCCTACAGAAACATTTCCGCATAAATTTTTCGCATACGAAAAATGAGCCGGTTCCAGAGCTAGACGCCTGCTTTGTGCGATCGAATAGTTTCCGTCAAAAATAGTACGAGCGCGATTGCGAGAAGGAATTCGAATCTCGTGCAATATAATCTCATTATGTGGAAAAGTTTGGTGGCTCGCAGCTAGGCCAATAGAGAATCCGTATTCATCTCGTGGCTCTATAAACCGTGAGAAAAGTTCGTCGGCGGACCGGCTAAACTAACTGAATCGCTTCGGCTCGGAATTCTCACGGTAATACCCATCGAACGGCCGACATTCCGAATAAATAATAAGTAGGAAAGATTGACGCTGGATTACTCGCGAATACGAACGACATGATTTATATCTCGCGGAAAAGTTTTATTCCCGGTTTGAGCAGATTCGGAACATCTGTTCAGACATCTCCGTAATCCATTCTGCTTCCATGCTAACGTCGCCACGCATTGAATTCCAGTTTTCATTGTCCGCCGGTAAATTGGAGCATCGGATATCACACGAAACAACCGAGATCTATCGCTGCTGCTTAAACAGTATGACCGATACAGCGGGGCGGAACGACA